CTCCCCCCAATAGCTAGCAATCCAAAACAGTCCAGTGGAGCCTGAGTGGTGGGTGTTGCCTTCTGACACACTTCCGGTGATGTCAGGGGGTGTGGCATAGGCAAATAAGTTATGCTAATGAGCTCCTGCACCTGTTTTTCTACGAAATGACCCCTGGCTTTAAGGTTAGTCAGAATTTGATGCTGTGTTGACCTGTGGGGTAGAGAGGAAGGGGAGCGTTCATCTGGTGTTCCCTATTGACTACAGTGGAAGTGTTTGAAATTAAATTACTTCTTTGGTGTTACTCCACTGTCAAGAACTTAAGTCGGCATCTGGTTGCAATTTGCGCCTGCTTCTTTGTACTCTAGGCACTCCGACTTTGCCCAGTATCAGTATTAGGTCAGTGATAGGTTCCCACTGGCACAGCTAAGCATGTGACATCTGTGTCACTTTTTCTGCTGGTTGCATTCCACTGGCACAAAGAGTGATCTTGTGTCACCCAGCTAAAACTTTCAGGAATAAAGTGGTATCTCAGCGAATAATTGACCCATAGTTGTACAAAGGCCTACAAAAGGGCATGCCACAATAAACTGGTCAGTTTCTGAGGTAGATTTTAGCCAGTTGTTGATTTATTTACAGCATTTGTATGCCACCTTTTAGTGGAATGTTCTCAAGGCAGCAGCGGTTTTGTCTGGCTGACTCAGGAAGACAGGAGGAACGGCAAGGCTCTCCTTCCATTGGCCTGCCCAGGACCAGCTGCCATTGGTCCTTCTCCCCCCTGAATTGTCTCCTGCAGCTGCCAATCCATCTGGTCATTATGGAACTGTTACACTAGTTACCTAAGGAGGTCTGAATTTACTTGTTTCCCCCTTCCCTTTCTATAGGCAGTTATTTAGAATTGTAAACCACCTTGAAAGCAGACACACTATATAAATGTATGAAATTAATTAGTATTCTTTAGACAATAAGCCATCTGAATTCATCTACTTCCACTACACTTTTCTTCTCCTGTCTTCCTTGAACACAATATTCCTCGATCCTCTAGGCTCTTTGCTAAAGGGACAATTTTGCTGAGGACACTTTTGGATTGAACTGAACAATAACTGAAAGGCACTTATTATCAGTGAAATATCATTTGGCATATGATTCGATCTTGGGAGGCCTCATTTATACTTTTATTCTATGCCTAGTAATTTCACTTTGGAACAATTCTTTTCTGGTCCATTTTGTATTCATGCTGTATAATTGTATTGTTTTATGGTATAAGCCAATTTGTTCCTCGTGTTTAGGGTTGCCAAGTTCTACCTGTTGCTGCAGCGGGGGACTCCCGGCTCGCTCCTGGAGTGCGTGTGTGCCGTAACCACATCACCCAGAAGTGACGTGACAACGCCGGGCATGCTGGGGGCGGGGCCACGACCATCCAAGGGAAAACCATAGAGTTTACCCTCAGATGACCGTGGCCCCACCCCCAGCGTGCCTGGCGTGGTCGTGTCACCTCCGGGTGACGTGCACGTCGCGTACTTTGGGGGTGGGGTTCCCCCCAGGGCCCGATCCGCCGGTGGCGGGGAACGGGCCTCTGGGGCGGAGGTTTCCCGGCCCCCCGGGGGGACTTGGCAAGCCTACTTATGTTTGACCTCTGAAGAAGGCCGAAACACGTCAGGTCAAGTCCATTGGCCCTTGTGTATGTGATTCTAAATTTTTATATGAGGTGTAATTGGGCCCCTATATGTTTTTTAATTCTTTACAAATAAATACATGTATGTATATATCTCTCCTTATATATAATTGAGTAAGACGTACACTCACGCACGGAGAGAAAATGCGCCCCCACAGTGTTTGGCCGCCTGAACTGTCCGTCAAATGCTTACCCAGGCTCCATTGGCGATGTCGTGTGCGTCCCACCTCCGACGCAGCTTCACGCCGCAGAGATCACATATTCTGCTCCCCCCTCCCCCCTGGAGCTCCAGCCTTCCCGGCCATGGGACACGTCGGCAGGCGCGGGGCCAGAGCCAACGGGGGCTCGCCGCCCGGGTCGAGCCGCTGCTCGCCTATCTGGCGGGGCAGACGGCAAGACGCCCCGGTGCCTGGAGCCGCAGCCGCATGGGTCAGGGGGGAGGGGGAGGAGGCGAGGGGGCCGCGCTTCTCGCCAGCGGGGAGGCATGAGGGGCGAAAGGCGACTTTCCCCACAACGGGGGTCGCCGCCTGGGTCGAGCCGCTGCTCTAAGCGCCGGTGCCTGCAGC